GAAAAAAAGGGGAGAAGTTGGGGAGAGAAGAGGAGAAAAGGGGAAAAAGAAGGGAGAAAGGAGGAGAGGGGTGAGGAAAGAGGAGAGAAAAGGGGGAAAAAGGGGAAAAGGGGAGAGAAAAGAGAAGAAAAAAGAGAGAGGAGAAAAAGGAGAGAAAAGAGGAGGAAAAATAGTAAAAAGGAGTTAAGAGGAAAGAGGAGGAAATAGAGGAGAAAAAGAGGGCAAAAGAGGAGAAAAAGAGAAAAAGCTGGAGAAAAAGAGGAGTGAGGGGGAAATAGAAAGAGAAGAAAGAGGAAGAAAAAATTAGTAAAAAGGAGTTAAACGGATACAAAAGAGGAGAAAATAGAGGGGAAAGGAGGAGAAAAGAGGAGCGAAAACTGGAGAAAAAAGAGTGAGGGGAAAAGGAGAGAAAAGAGGAAGAAAAAAAATAGTAAAAAGGAGTGAAGAGGAGAGAAAAGAGAAAAATAGAGGAAAAAAGAGGAGAAAAGAGGAGCGAAAACTGGAGAAAAGAGTGAGAGGAAAAAGGAGAGAAAAAAGGAGAAAGAAAATAGAAAGAGGAGAAAAAAAGGGGAAAAGGAGGAGAAAAGAGAGATGAGAAAAGATAAAAAAAGGAGAAGAGAATAGCGAAGAGAAGGGGAAAGAGGAAAATAAAAGAGAAGGGAAAGTACAAGAGAAGAGAAAAATCAAAAAGCGAAAATAGAAGAGAAAACGGAAAAGAGACGAGAGTACGCGAAGGCGGCGGAGGGCGCAGGGGCGGGGCTAATGCGATTCGGGGTGGAGACATGCAAATTAGGGAAGCTGTTGTCTCGAAGGGGACGCCGGGAGCCTTTAATGTAGAGAAATTTGGGGTATCACGGGGGGTCATTAACCCAAAATCAGAGAAAATGTGCGGAAACAGTGGGGTAGCATAAAAATGGAAGAGTATGACTCTCCATGGTGGTGTTTGATTGGCTGAAATAAAGTATGCATTTTTTGAAGTAAAGTCAGCTATCTAGGATTTGAAAGAAGAATCTTTAGCCTCCTTTCACTTCCTCTTCCTTGGAGAGGAAATTTTCCTAAATCCTATGGGTTTTGGGATAACAACTGGTAGATCTGGAAGGCAGGGAGCAGCACTATTTCAGTAACTAAATTCAAAACAAGTCCATTTCTCCTCAAGGAACCTTTATTTTAGACAGGAACTGGAACACCACCTCTAAAAGAAAGTTTGTAATAGCCATTGCATCTGTTGTAGCTTGTAATAACTGTAGGTAGAAAAACTTTCTGTCTGCCCTTAAATAAACTACAAGAGAATGCAGGACTTGCAAGACATATCTGGATTTCATTTGGTTGCTAGGAGAGAAATGGAGACCCTTAGCTGTCATATTTTTGCAAATAACACAGCACCAGAGTCACAGACCAAAGGCAACTTGGCTTTTATTGTGCTGTCTTTCTGTAGGGGATGATGCTGCTAGCTGCTGGCCTTTCTTCTTTTTGTTGTTCTTTTTTTTTTTTTTTTAAAAGACCAAACAGTGTCATCAGACTTTTTGAAAAGGTGAGACGTATGTAGTAAGAATGCGCTGAATGTAAAGTAATATGTTTTTTGAAACCGTCACAGATTGCTATGTAAGAATTGTGCTTTTGTCTTAAAAGATTCTCTTTTGTTCATGCTCATCATATACACAGGCAATCATATAAGAAACAACAGATTCAGAACAAAGCCTGTACCCAGTTGACATTAAAAAAAACCCAAAATACATCACCTTGGTTAACTCAAATAAGACAGTACAGAAACAGCTGCATTGCACATTAATTTCTAAGGCACACAGAGCCTTAGTTTCCACTTCATAATATTTTTTCATAAAAGGTACTTTAAGTCATGTAATAAAGGTTGTGAAAGGTCTTGTTTATTATATGTTCCACAGAATAAATGTAGTCTTTATAGTAATCTATTCAAAGCCATTGTCTTCATATGCAGAAAGCTTATCAACTATTAAAATATTGGTCCGTTCATGAAGCATTCTGCAACAACTGCTCTAATCAAAACTAGTTAGCTTGTACTTCTGTGGCATTAAAGTAATTGATCTAGAGCTTATAGTTGTTTTATAGTGTGCATAGTCACACAGGGAGTTGGAATTTCCCACCTCCTGTTCCCCCGAGTTACATGTATGGTTTGCAGCTTGAAATATTTTGGTGAAAAATGAATGTATAGCTTTTTACATTATTTGTACTGCTATTGTTAAATGAAAATTTTCGTTTTTTCTCATTTTATTCTCTTATTTCCTCTCTTTTTTCCCTTTTCTCTCGTTTTTTTTTCTGATTTTATTCTCTTTTTCCTCTCTTTTTCCCCTTTTCTCCTCCTTTTTCCCTTTTTCTCTCTTTTATTTCTCATTTTATTCTTTTTTTGGTCTCTTTTTTTGCCCTTTCTCCTCCTTTTGTCTTCTGTTTTTTCCTTTTTCTTTCGTTTTTTCTCATTTTATTATCTTTTTTTCTCTCCTTTTTCTCCTCTTTTTTCCCTTTTCTCTCGTTTTTTCTCATTTTATTCTCTTTTTCCTCTCTTTTTTCCCTTTTCTCCTCCTTTTTTCTCTTCTTCCCCCTTCCTCTCTTTTTTCCCCTCCTCATTTTCCCCTTTCTTCTCTTTTTAGTCTCTTTACTCCTCTTTTCCCCCTCAAAACATCCCCCCACCACAAATTTTGGGGGTCCATCCCCCTCAGACACTGCCCCACGACGAGGAGAGGTTAGAAAACTCTCCAAAATTTGTTAAAACTCCCCAAAAAGAGCACACGGTTGCAAAATAAACCTTTTATTGTCCAAAATAAACCTTTTATTTTCCCCCCCCCTCAAAAAAAATACTCTCAGGGTATAGAAACCTCCCCGTTTTGGGGGTCGGGGCCCCCCCTGCCCCCCCCCTCCAGCCGCTGCTTGACGGCGAGGGGCAGGAAACTCTCCAAAAAGTGGAAAAAGTCCCGAAAAAGTGGGGCGGGGGAGGTGGGGGAGGGGAAAAAGTGGAGTAAAACCTGGGTGGGGGTGGGGCGGGCGGTCACCCCGAATCGCAGCAGCGGCGGCGGGGGCCCCCCCCGGTCCCC